ACTTGGATAGTTTTCCTGCGAGGAATTTCCATGACCTACAAAACAAGAACAAAGATGAAGATCTAAACCCTTGAAATGGTTAGTGAATTCATATGATGCTTTATGATGTTCATGATGTATGCACAAACATATGTACAAGCAATTCACACCAAACCCTAGTTTCAGGCTTGCATGGGGTTTCATATGTAAGTACCCTCTTGAGTGTAGCTGGCTTAAAAACCTGTCCTATAAATAGTAACCGGGTTTTAAGGAACTCAATATCACTTGATTGTTTTCATTATTCCAAGAAAACAACCCTCAATGAGTGTAGTATCGAGTATCTACCAACTTCGGACTGCACCAAAGCCGGTCATCTCACTACCCCTAATGAAAGGCCAAGATGGTCAAGTAAGGTTCTAGGTCATTAGTGCTTAGTGACATCACTCAGCGGCTCCGTACTCTCCTTGATTGAACTCAAGGGTTACCGGTACTCACAAATATGTCGCACTAATATAGCTATTGCTTCAACCGTGTCAGTATACCCCACACAGTTTCCACAACGTATTGCTATCTATGAATGTTTCCCCAAATTCGGGTGTAGGATTGCAAACCCAAACAAGAGAGCCAAAATGTAAAGCAATCAAAGCAAATAATTAGTCATGCAAGAGGGTGATCTAAGCCCTAAGGTTACTCCACTTTAAAAGTTCTCCCCAGCAGAGTCACCAATTCTGTGATACGGTGGGAGAACTGACTTGAGGTTTTGCGTTTGTTTTCGCAAATGTTTCAGTTGAGCAAGAGTCGCCACCGACTTTTTATTTTATCCTAAGAAAAGGTTAAAAAGCACAGCAAAAACCTTTGAGATATTTTCTTGGGTTCGGGGAGTAGATTATAGAAAGGGAAGGTATTAACACTCTTTCTATCCATGGTTATCCATGGGCTCTTAGTTACTTGCTTAGATCAACTTGCCTTGATTTTCAATTGTTTGAAATGGTGCTTTGTGTGTGGGTTTGAAAAATGTTTTGAAAAGAGGCCAATGTGGTGGCAACCTTTGTAATGATCCATGTTGGGATGTATACAAAGGTGTATGTCTTTTGAAAAGTTTTCAATTGTTTTTTTGAAAGTTGTTTTTGAAAGTGTAGTGATGTGTGTTTGAAAATAGCAAGAATGTTTTGTATGTTTTGATCAAGTAACTAAGAGTTGTCTACCCTATTTTACTCAAAGATCTTTCCTACACATTTTTAACCCTTTTGACAGTGTTGTTTTACCATTGCATTTGATAAACAACCTTGTATTAGGATGTTAAACGGGACAAGCGCGGGTCATCGTATTGACCATGATAGCAATTGTGCCAAGTATCTTTAGCAATTTTTTTTGAGGGACTAGATCATTTTTATATAGGCAACCAAGATAGCGTCATCGAGGGACTATGATCTTTTGTTTTGTTTTTGTTTTGCCAAAGTACTCAACATGCTTAACATGTCCATTTTAAAGGCAACAAGTGGATGAAACCCTAGGGGTGCATGTGTGCATTGTGTTGTCAATTTTCATGCTTTTTGTCTTTGTATTAGTCAAACTATTTGTTTGATTTTGGATTTTTGCATACAAACCCTAATCTCTAGCATGACATATTTAGAAAGCTTTTAAAGTGCGGAATTTAAAGGTCCTAAGTTATTACAACACAAATATGGGATGGGGGTACAAATGTTCAAATGGGGATATTTTAGCAAGAAATTAAAATCTAACTATTACATCCAAATTGAATTATACAAATTAATTAACATACAATAATTAAATAAAATATAATAAATATGCAAGATGCAAAAAATGATTTTTTATATGTATGTAAAAAGTGTTTTTTATGTGTCACATAAACAAAAATGAAAATGATTAATTTTTGGTATTTTTATGTATTTAGGGCAAAACCCTAATTTGTTAAATAAAAGTATTAATTATTTAATGTATGCAATATTTATTAATTATGTACAAAAAATAAATAAAAAGGAAGTATATTGTCAAAAGGTGATTTTTTAAGTTAAATATTAATAAAAATAAAAATGTATTATTTTTTATGTTTTTATCCTAAATATACTAATAAATATATAAATATTTACATTATTTATTAAATATATTAAATATGTACAAAATAAAATATTTAATATTTACAAAAAAAAGTATATTTTTTATAAAATGTTTTCAAAAGGTAAAATAAAATAAAAATCAGAAAATAAAATATATTGGTATTATTTTAGCATTTTGAATAAAAGTAAACTTATGTTTATTTACATATAAAGCTAAATGAAACAAAATAAATATAAAAAAAATGCAAAAAATGTGAGAAAAATATTTTTTAGTATTTTTTGTGCTTTGACAAAAATAAATAAGTCAGAAACAAAAATCAAAAGTCAAAAATAATGAAAATAAAATGCAATGGGCCAAGGGGGTGCAAATGTAAAAACATGGTGCAAAAAGGAAAAAGAGTCAGGCCCAGCCCAAGAAGACTTTGTCTTCAACCTCTGAACAAAAAAACAGAGCAACGCGTGCTTCCTGCTATCTCATGATTCCTGGACTTTTAGCACAAACTTATAACATGAAAAGTGTCAAGCATCAAGCCACGATTCCATACATACCAAAAACTTGATCTAACTCTCAGAAATGAGAGAGAATTTCTCCATCCCTAATTCTTAACCTAAGTTTTTATCAATGTTCAGGTCTTAAATTCTCTCAGCATATGCAATATAAATGGAAAGTGAGGATATGTATAGCTTCAGGGCCATGAGTAGTGCATTTTTCATTCATAAACTTAAAGCTAACTCTTCCTAGATTGAGAGATAGAAGTGCATGAACTTACCTGTTCAGCTTGGATCGTGTCTGGCAATGGAGGCACTTTCAAGGCAAGGTGAGGATTGGTACAACTTGCTTGAAGTCCAGGGATGCTATTCCAACCTTTAGCTTGCTTTAAAACCAAGTGAATCAAGCTATGACAATCAACCTGCAAAACAGAAAAAGTGAAAATGGTGAAGTTGGTTAGAGGTGTTACAGGTCGTGTCCAATGCTTGGGATAACTTATATATGTGGTATGGAGTGTGTATGAACTGGTTTTAGCAACAATGCACGAGTGGATTGAGTTATGGAAGTCCAACTGCAGAGGTGACTCTGTTTTCTGCAGTAGGATGGTGTTTTGATGAATGATGAGGTTTGGAAGGTGTTTTGGTCGTGCCTTAGCTCAGTTATGTTGTTTGGGATGTGTCTAACAAGTTTGTCTAAGCTAATTCTTGCAGCAATGAGAGTTGGATATCAATATGCCAAGTTCCTTCTAACTTAAGCAAAAAATGACAAGTTGGTTTCTAGGCTTATGCAGGCCCCTCAAATGTGCTGCAAAGCTTTGTCTTGATCAGTGGGATATATCCCTGAACTTGTGCCAAAAGGATTTGCATTGTACTTCATGATTTGCAAACTTGACATAAAGCCATACTTTTCAAAAATGGATAATTTGCTTTTTCCATATTAAGGTTAATCTTTTGTGTAATGCCTTAATGGACAAGATAATGCTAGGACACAAAGGTTTTGCATTAAATTATTGAGTGTAGATGAGATAAAAGGCCTGTAATCTAGCTTAGAGCATGCTGAGTTCAAAAATGCAAAGTTATGGACATGGAAATGGCTCATGAACAAAGTGAGTTTTGCCTATATTGCCAAATTCGATTCTCCCTAACCACAAGGTTGTTTGATGAGTTCTTGGACATTTTGGAAAGCTTGGAATATGTACTACAATCCATCTTTGTAATGCAAATTGAAATTCCAAGTGGAAGCATGTGAAAAGTGGCCATGAAGTTAGGCAAAAATCCTGCCTAAAATAGGTCAAAATTTCTTCTAAGTTAAAAGTGTTTTGCACCCTTATTCCAAAAATCATAACTTGAGCTACAAGCTTCTTTTGAGGAAACTTTGTGAATCAAAGTTGTAGATTTTGCAATGGACTATAACTTTCATGTTTTGAGTTTTCCTTGAATCCAAATGTATCTTGATGAACAAGTGGGACAAAGTTAGGAAAAATTAGCGATTTTTATAACTTGGAAAAATTCTAAGTTATGAAAATTCTTAATTTCAAACCCTAATTTGCAATTTTTGATTTCTTGATGAACAAGTTTCATAATTTGGCATGTTTTAATGAAAAATGAATCTTGACACTTGATTTTGACCAAAAAGTCAAAGTTTGACTTTTCAGTATACAGTCAAATTTGGCTCAGTTGACTGGAAAATTCATCTGTCAATCTTGTGCATTTGGGATCTTTTGAGTTTGTTGAACATGCCAAGACAATTCCATGGGGTCCTTGAGTCCATATGTGAGCTTGGTTTGCCATTGGCTAGGTCAAACAGTCAAAAATTGCCCTTGTGCAGTCAAAACCCTAAAAATGACCATTTTGCCCTTTTGGCGATCTGATCAAATTTCTTGTGGAATTATGATCCAAACTTGACCAAATAATTCATATGAGTCCATAATGTTGATGTGGGTCAAAAATCATGAGGTTTGACTGTCAATTGACCACATTTGACTTTTTCCCCAACATAGTTGTTTTCTAGGTCAACTGTCCAATTGACTGGGCAAAGATTATAATCAAGGCTTGAAACTTGGTATGGATAAACTTGGGAGTCCAATATGAAGCATGAAAGTCATCTTAGGCATTTTATGTCAAAACATCTTTGTGCAAACATAAACCCTAATTTGGGTCAACAGTGCAAGGAGGAGTCTTGAGCAGAGGAAACCCTAACTGGATCTTGAGCTCTAAGGGTCTTGTGGTGAGAAAATGTTGAGGAAATGGGAGGGCAAATTTTGGGGTACAACAATACGTAACTTCCTGGATATGGATCATGAGGTAAGAAATGATTTCTATAGCTTATGTAGGTTTGGATTTTAATTTTTAGAAGAATTCCCTATTACTTGGCATCCCTATACTGACCAAATGCTGCCTATTACACAGAATATAGAAGAATTCCCCATTACTTGGCATCCCTATACTGACCAAATGCTGCCTCCCGACCTGCATGATCAGATTCAATACCGAACTATCGTCACCCCATTGTTTTGCTACAATTATGTGGAGCCTCATTATCCAAATGTTGTAGCAAAACAGTTCGCGGAACTTGATGATATTGACTTGGCCGGTGTTGGATCTGATATGGGAGTGATTATTTCAAAGGGAAATAAAGGCAATCATCCCATCAATTTTAAAGAACATTTTAAAAGAGAGCTGAGACAATGGGAGGATATTGATAGGCGGTTTGCACAAAACTTCCAGACTATTGAAGCATCCACTTCCGAGACGGCAGGTGATACTGAAGCACCCTATTTCGAGACGACAGGTGATCACCAATCACCCAATATTGAGTATAGCACTAGTGGAGGTAAAATATTTAATAATGTTATGGTTTTAGTTATGAATAATGATAAGTAATCAGCGGTGCATGTTATATTATGAATATATAATTACGTTTTTAATTAAGAAAATGTTGTTTTTGTTTTGCCAAATTTTAACAATGTGATCATGTGTGACGTTGGTGATTGATTTTGTAGCATATGGGATTCCGGTGGTTGAGGAAACAAATATTCAACTCGAGCAGAATGAGGTTGAGTTGAACTCGAGCAGACATCAAGGATTCTATATCACAAACTAAAGAGGTAAAATTTTCCTTCGTCGCCAAGTGGACCTCGTTAATGACACCATCCACTTCCATTACTAAGTCCTTTGTTTCTATAAGATTTGATTCAACAAGGTCTTCTATCTCCTGATTCTTCAAATCAACAACGGTCTGTAAGCTCTCAACCTAATGACCCTATGTTATCTTTTTACTCGTCATCCACCTACGTAACACATCTTAATTGACGATGATAAAATTCCTGCACGCAACCGACAAAAGTAACTAACTACCAACCACTTCCACAGCTAAAACTAGTACTACAACCTCGTGATGCAGATGAAGCATGAACGTTGTAGCTTACAAACATGGCTGTGATTGTTCCCACACTATAGCAATTACAACACTTACATAGCAAACTTAATAGAAAAAAATGATACAACTGAACAATATCACGAATTAAAATGATTTGCGATTGACAACACTGACTTCTATTATATAGCAACATAGTGCGGCAAATCTGTGAATGGATCTAAAAATCTTCTTCAGTTCATTATTTAGTCACTGGAAATAAATGTATACTAATATATTGCAACCAAAATATACTTTGGTAATAAGTAGATAAGTAGATATGAGACAAACATAAGTTAAGAGTACAACACTTACAATCATGATACAAACATATGGGTGTTTTCCCGCAGCATGATGGCATTCGTCCATTATTAAAACCTTTATCATATTTAGTTTGATAAAGCTGTGCCTCAAGCAATCAAGCAATATTGCTGGTGTCATTACAAGTACCTAAACATTCAAAAGCATTACAAAACAAGAAGATTTGTTATATGACACGAACGAAGAGATACAAAAAGCTCACCTCGTGCTTCCCCAATTCATTTTCCCATGTAGCTTTATCCCAAAAGTCAACACCCATGTCTCCCCAATACATTCCAACTTTCAAATCAGTGTGATTTCTCAAGGCTGTAGCTTGCTAGAATACAGAATTGAAGAAAACAAACAAGCAGGATGAATCCTCAAAAAGCATATAGTAATAAAATGAATGATAAAATAAAAGTTGCATCATACTTGAGAAACCAGTACAACTTTGGGAACCAAAAAAACAACAATGTAAGGAGAAGGCTTTCGAAGGTGATGAGCGTAGCTTCTAAGAAGCATGATGGCTATCAGAGTCTTTCAAGAACCAGTCTCTAAATACACTATGGTATTCTCACGAATCACTCTGTCCAACGCTTCAAGTTGATAACTAGACACACAAAAATCAATCAGGAAACACATAACATAAATTATTCCAATCAAGATGAGAAATGAAAGGATTGAACAAACCTTCTAGCAAAGGAAAGAGTGTCAGGCACAACGTGTGTGTGATTATAATGATCCATTTCCATGAGGGCTTCTTCCATGGTATTTGATGACACTACATTATCAAATAAAAACATAAGCAATGAAAACATGCATAGTGATAAAGTAAGAAAAAGCCAAAACAGTGAAAATGATGGAACCCTGATGGGTGATTACATAAGGGAGAAGGAGAGGAAAAGTAATGTTGGAAAAGAAAAAGCCAAAATAGTGAAAATGATGGAACCCTAATGGGTGATTAGGTAAGGGAGAATGAGAGGAAAAGAGCGAAGTAGAAGTTACAGATGAAGATGATTTATGATATATTGAATGATGATGTCAGTGGAAGCCAATACAAACGGAAGTAAACGTTAGTCCCCCTATATTAACATAAGTAAACTTTAGTCCCCCTACTTTACTCTCCCTTTCATTCAATAATAACATAAGTAGGGGTTACCTCCTCCTAACATAAATAGTATGGGGTTACCCCCTATTTAGTTAATCCCCTACTTATATTAGTAGGGGGTAACCCCCTACTAATATAAGTATGGTGTTACCTCCTAGTAATATAAGTAGGGGGTTACCCCCTACTTATATTAGAAGGGAGTTACCCTCTACTTATGTTAGTAGGGGGTTACCTTCTACTAATATAAGTAGGGGATTAACTAAATAGGGGGTAACCCCCTACTATTTATGTTAGGAGGAGGTAACCCCTACTTATGTTATTATTGAATGAAAGGGAGAGTAAAGTAGGGGGACTAACGTTTACTTATGTTAATATAGGGGGACTAACGTTTACTTCCGTTTGTATTGGCTTCCACTAACATCATCATTCAATATATCATAAATCATCTTCATCTGTAACTTCTACTTCGCTCTTCTCCAACATTACTTTTCCTCTCCTTCTCCCTTACCTAATCACCCATTAGGGTTCCATCATTTTCACTGTTTTGGCTTTTTCTTTTCCAACATTACTTTTCCTCTCCTTCTCCCTTATGTAATCACCCATCAGGGTTCCATCATTTTCACTGTTTTGGTTTTTTCTTACTTTATCACTATGCATGTTTCCATTGCTTATGTTTTTATTTGATAATGTAGTGTCATCAAATACCATGGAAGAAGCCCTCATGGAAATGGATCATTATAATCACACACGTTGTGCCTGAGTTATTATGGACTTCAAGAAAATTACTATTGTTTTCATGTTTGTGGTATTAACATGAACGTCTCATTGGAAGACGTTCTGTTTTTGACCAACTTGCCCATTACGGGCCGAGCAATTATATCTGAAAGCAATAAAGACCCTATGGCTTTTAACTGGGTTTTTTCTTTACCTGCTGTTAATAAACTTAAGTTAAGTGTGTTGAAAAATATTTGTTGTGATTTAAGTAAAAATGATGATGATAGGATAAAAGTTGTCCTCCTTATGATTGTGTCTTGTCTGATCGTTCCAAGTGGGGATGGCCAAAACTGCAAAACCACGTACATCCAATTTATTGAAAAATTGGACGAAGTGGATTCTTATGCTTGGGGAGCGGCACTATTGGCCTTTCTATATCAAGGTCTAAAAGGAGAATTATTTACGTAATAAGAAAGTTGACGGCTTTGTATGGCTGATAATGGTAAGTGCATATTTTTTCTTATATCTTTTTTTTCTTTCTTATCTTTGTTTGATAACTTTTTAACCAACTGTTTTTTCATAGGGATTTTTCTTTTATCATTTTAAAGGACTTCATAAAATCCTCAATATCATTGCTGTTACTGCGGAGGAAGATCGTATGCCTAATATGCCACTATTGGCATATTTGATAAAGGATCTTTTCACACTCGGCAAAAACCGTCACGGAAAAGTCCATCATAATTTAGGACAAAAGTTTCAGTTGATACGTAACTTCCTGGATATAGATCATGAGGTAAGAAATGATTTCTATAGCTTATGTAGGTTTTGATTTTAATTTTTAGAAGAATTCCCTATTACTTGGCATCCCTATACTGACCAAATGCTGCCTATTACACAGAATATAGAAGAATTCCCCATTACTTGGCATCCCTATACTGACCAAATGCTGCCTCCCGACCTGCATGATCAGATTCAATACCGAACTATCGTCACCCCATTGTTTTGCTACAATTATGTGGAGCCTCATTATCCAAATGTTGTAGCAAAACAGTTCGCGAAACTTGATGATATTGACTTGACCGGTGTTGGATCTGATATGGGAGTGATTATTTCAAAGGGAAATAAAGGCAATCATCCCATCAATTTTAAAGAACATTTTAAAAGAGAGCTGAGACAATGGGAGCAATACTAACCATAATTATTTTTCACTTGTAATTATATATTTTTCTAACCTCTTTATGAGGGATGGTTATTAAATGCTTTCTCTCTATCTCTTTGGCAATCGTCATGGATTCATATTCGTTAATTACTTGGATCATAGCCATTCTTTTGTAGGTCTTAGAGAATTCAACAGTTGTTTGGAGAATGATTTTCGTGTTATCATTGCGAATGAATCTTCTTGTCTTTAAATTAGATACCAATCAAAGTGTTAGAGACTCATAATACCAAATAGGAACAAGGACAACACCAAATTTAATTATTACCTTAGAACAACCTTGTTGTTCTGCTGTAGAGGTCATCTTCTCTGTTGACTCAGCTTCTTCTAAATAAAGTTCTTTATGTATCTGTTTCGTACTAGAAACTTCCCCGTATGCATAAAGTTCTTCATGTGTCCGTTTCGTACTAAAAAGATGTGTTGAGTTGATTGTTACGTAGGTGTCTATTGAATTTTGCTGTTGCATGCATGCATTCAAATTTTAAAACACTGATTTGTTTTATAAACCAAGACAACAAACTTATTGAGGGTATATTACACTGTTTTAAGATTCCTTCTTTTGGTAGTTGGTTGTATTTTTAGTACTTGAATATATTTGTCTCTGTCACCAAATTCATGTGGTAGTTTCTGTTGCCTTTCAATTCATGTGATTGTGAGCTTTAGCGTCACAGTAGCTGCATATGGTATCTTAAGCCATCTCTCAATAGGAAGGTACCAAAATTAGAGTAAGTCAATAGCGGCACTATAGAGGAGTGGAGGCCGACCGTTATGGGAAGAGTCGTAGCGGTGCAGAACACTAGTGGTCGCTATGGGAAGAGTCGCAGCAGTGACAAAACACTATAGTGGCCCAGAAGACGAGTTTGTACGCTAAATCCCCTGAATCGGATGCAGATGATGCGTAGCGCAAAAGACGTAGAGGAAGAGTTGAGAGAAGATGATGATGACGTAGGCATATACGGTAGCAAAAAAGGAGGGCAGGATCGATTGGGCCGTAATGATTAGGCCGGGTCAGTTTTTCGGAGCAAGAGCGGGTCAAAAGAGACAAATCGTTCCAGTTGGCTCAACCCAACTCAGAAAATAGGGTCTAGTGGATCTAACACGCTCTCTGCGACGTCGTTAGCTTCAACTGGGAAAAAGGGTGAAAATGATTCGCGATCTGAAAAATGGAAAGGGATTCGCAGCATTCACAACGACGAGATGGCGGAGAGAAGGGCGAAGGGACTATGCTTCAAGTGTGGAGGCAAGTATCATCCTACTCTCCATAAGTGCCCTGAGAGATCCTTATGAGTGTTGATTTTGGGTGAAGGGGAATGTTGTACCCCAAAATTTTCCCTCCCATTTTCTTCAAGATTTGCTAAGAGCATGCTTTAAAATCTCCCCAAAGGTTGCACAGTCCAATGGCCTCCTAACAGTCAAAAATTAGGGTTTTGGCTCTGGCAAAGAAATTGAAGTTTCCAAGGGTCCAAACAAGTCCCACATGCCTACAAACATTGTCAAGCATCCACATGCCAAGTTTCAAGACTCACAGCACAAAATTGCACAGTCAAAAACCCTAATTGCTCAACAGTCAACTGCAGGGGCAAAATGGTCATTTGACAGTCAAAAGTCAAATTTTTTGGTCAACATCTTATTTTGAAGCCACAAACATCATTTGATCAATTCTTGATCATGATTCTCAAAGCATGGCTCAAAAAGTCTCAAGATGCAAAAGTTTCTATATTTGGACAGTTGAAAAAGTCAACTGCAAATTGACCAGGGCATAACTTCCACATGGTTTATCAGAAAAATTCCATCCAAAGCTCATTTTGAATAGAATGACATTTCCTACAACTCCTCTTCACACTTCAAGTCCAAGAAATGCTCTCACAAAAAGTTATCAATCTCAACATTATAGGTCATTTTCAAAAGTCAACAAAAAGGCACTTTAAGTCAAAGACCATAAATTGAGATTGGTAAATCAAAATGACATGGGACCAAAGACATTGGTTAGAGGACTTCAAGACCTTTCCAAAATGTCCAAGAACATGATCAAAGATTAAAAATTGAGCAAGATATGCCTTGTGGAAGTTGGAAAATTTTTGGGAATTTTGAAAAGTCAACTTTGCTTCAAATGCCTCAAAATTGCTAATGGGCCACAATTTCTTCCAAGAATCATCACCCAAAAGCTATGCACGACCCATTGACTTTAAAGGGAATTATTTTATCATTTTTGATTAATTATTTGAATTATTATTATTATTAATTCATTTAATTAAAATTAAATATGACAAAAATAGCAAATCATGTTTTCCAAATCCTTTTGTGCAGCATATTCTCTCATTAAGGCCTCAATATTTCGTGCATCCCTCAAAAGGAAAGAATCTTCAATGATTGGCATGAGAAAGGAATGAAAAAGATTGAAAAAGATGCTTGAAAATCACAAATTCAAAAGCATTGAATACATGGATCATGGGCTTTGTTTTTGACCTAAAATGATTCCTCATACATATACAAACAAAACCTAATGCAAAAGGAGAAGAGAGCTGCGCTGCAAGGTCAAGAAAAAACTTGCATTTTTTTCACAAAAAGGCCAAAACTGTTTTCATAGATACAAGGTGTTTCAAAGCCAAATAACGATTCCCATACACTCCTGACACATCTAGGAGACGTTTGCAATTGAAACCAAGCTTCCACGCGCAGAGAAACGGTAGAACGCCATAGCCCTGTTCATGAAAACTTTCATAATCGTATTTTGATTTATATGCATGTTTCATACATTTTAAATGTTGATTTATATTAATATGAACCTTCTGAAGCTCGTGATACCATTTAATTGTCCTAACCATGCCTGTATCGAAATATGCCATTAACGTTTTCTAGGTTTTCAGAAGTTTGAATTTGGGGCTTTCCTCATCTGGAAAAATTAGGCCACGAGACCTGTACCACTGGATTCATAACCTTCCAACGAATCAATTCCCCCCATCGCGCCCTTTTTATATTTGCATATGACCTAATCGCTATTTTCAGGTTCTGCACTTAGTGGGGGTTTAAAACCCCTGCTATCTATTCTATATTTTTCAGGCAAAAACGAAGAAGTGAAGGAGAAGATGCTGAGTTGTTTGCTTATGGTTGGTCAATTTGAATATTAGCGCGTTTTTTCTAGCGCTTCAGTATAATGTTTATATTTCTATTATATTATTTCTATTCCATTTAATTAACAAAGACAAGCGTTGGTTGGGTTGGTTGATGTGTTGTCATGCAGGCAATGGGACCTGGGTTCGATTCCCAGGTCCCCCACTTCCTCTATAACTTTTTCTCTAACGCGCTTCTGTGCAGTATGCTCATGAGGGATCATTGTACAACCTCATCTCCTGGCCTGCCAAGTGTACATGGGCTCTGATCTGAAGGCCACAAAAGTGGCTCACCATGCGCGTTGGTCAACTGAGTCTCACGTGATCGTTGAAAGTCAAACAGGCCTTGAATTCAGTGGGCCTAATTCCTTACACATACCTCCTAATTGGGCAGAAACCCCCCATGGTTTGCATATTTAGATTTTTATTTTAACTCTCCTTTTTATTTTAATTATTCTTTTTTATTGTTCTATTAATTCACCAAAATATTTTTCATAAAAAACAAAAAAAAGTCAGAAATCATAAAAATAAAATATGTTTATTATTTTTATATTTAATTCACTAATATTTTATTTTGTAAATAAATTCCAATAATCAATTAGTTTAATTTTAGGTTTAACTTTAATGGTTTTTTTCTTAAATAATTAAAATACATAAAAATTAGTTTTAGCATTTTTATTCTTTTTTTTCTTAATAAATAATTTATTTCCTTATCATCATTATTATTAATTCTTAATTAATTTGTAAATAAACTTGTAATTAAATAATTAGGGTAAATTAGGTTAAAACTTAAACATTTTTCTTTAATAATTAAAAATAATTTAGAATTAGGGTTTTATTAAATTTCAGATTTTAATTAATTCTCTTTATTTTCACAAATACCAAAAACCATAAAAAATAACCTTCTTCTTTCTTTAATCATTAATTAATTTATTAATTCCTTAAAGGGTCCAACGCCCTCGCACTCGATTCTAATTTCTTTTCGCATTTATTTTTTATTTCCTTTTTAAATATTATGTAATTGCCCCAAAGCTTTGTAATAGTAATTAGGACATTTACTTTCCGCACTTTTATTCAAATCAGGTTTTGGTTTAATTTGGCGATGTATAGACCCGCGCCTTGTAATAGCGTAGGACCTTTATTTTTCCGCATTTTAATTTCCGCACCTTTTAAACTGCTAATCACATGAAAGAATGTATGCCTAAATAAAATCAAAGCGTAGATCACCAAAAGCATGTACAAGATAAATAATAACTGAAAATGACACACAATTCACACACCACTCCTAGGGTACGCCTCACTGTTGCCTTGCCCCTCGAAACGTGGTCGTCGAGTATAAGACGTTTTAGTAAGTCCTCATGTCCATGAACATGGCATGGGGGTAGCTTCTAAGGTGTCCTACTGTTGCTCTGGTGACCACACTGTCCCTACACTCGAATTGACCCGAACACCTCCAACGGTGGTGCTACCTACCCCTCAATGGTGGGATGACACTACCTCAAGGACATTTACACAGACTAATTCCTTAGGGTAGGTAGATGACTCGTAGATACTTGCTCTAATTCAAAACAAATCAAAAACTTCTTTTCACACCGACACTTTTCAAAAAGCTTTCAAAACAATTTTTCAAACACTCTTGAGGACTGATACAAGAGTCGAACTGAAATTTTAAACGAAACTTTTTCAAACCCACTCACCTTGAAAAGCAAACAAACATTTTGAAAACACAAATGAGCAAGTATCTAAGAGCCCATGGATAACCATGGATAGAAAGGGTGCTAACACCTTCCCTTTCTATAAATCTACCTCCCGAACCGAGAGCAATCTCATAAGGAATTTTTCTGTGCTTTTGTCCTTTCCATATTG